AATAACGAATCATGTAGATACATGTAGATTACCTCTGGATTCTTCATTGCTGATTCTCAGCCCAAATTGGACTGTAGTAAAGGCAAATGTTATCTGTCCAATTTTGTTTCCAGAGTAATTTCCTATGATATCTGTTGGTCGTACAAGTACTGAATGGAAGCAGTCTCCTCTGAGACCTTGTTTAACACATATTTGACAATGATAGTTGTGAGCAGCTCCAGTCCCACATCCTCATAGCCATGCTGCTCGGCAGTCTCAGCAATGTGTAACCAGCTCTCGTACGTCGTGGTGCTGTCTTCAAACACAGCATGGTGCAGACTGCCTGACGGGGACCCTGGGAAAGATACAGGTAGGTTTGGTTGTACAAAGATCTGGCTATGTATGTCTATATATCATGCATTCATCAAGTTATTCTCTAGATGCCCTATCACATCAGGCAAATTGAAAAGCCTTTTGTTGTCAAGTTTTCCATTCAAGTAAAAATCTATCAACTTCAAGTAGGGGCAAATACATCAACACACGTATTGACCCAAGTTATTGATACCTTAATGTAAAAATCTACTTGTACATTTAACATCAATCTCGGGATACGATCAAGCTACGTATAAGTATGTATGACATTGTCTACTGTGAAGGTTTTATTCCAGTCCCATGATTAGTCATTAGTGCCGGGTTTAACTAGGGGAATCTTGAGAACAGAACTGACCTGTTGGGAACTTGTTGTGTGTCTCCTGCAGCAGCCGCAGCCCTATCAGGTAATCCTCAGTCTGTAGCAGCGTGCTGACTGCCTGTCCCAGCTGCAGGGCAGGCGGCTGGTCGTTGTACGGCTGGATCAGGGACCGGGCCAGCTCCAGGGACGGGCACGTCTGCAGCACGTGGGCCCAGTCAGCTGTAAAAGGCAGGGCAGTGTTTTATTCATCTAAATTACTAGTGTGTGTGAAACAATGACATACACGTACCATATGGAACATGATTCATCACCAAGGGCCTTGGGTTGCTCAAGGTATGAAAAAGGAAGAAGAGAGTTTTAAAATGACCATCTGCTGGAAGGTGATCTTTATATGTGCATTATACCTGCACACTCCCTATTTGGGTATATCATTTACCTTATGCAGTATTTCCTATGCTTATCGCTAGGTGGCGCACGTGTACAAAGCTCTAATCGCAAAGCATCACGGGATATCATGACGTAATGACATTGTTCGCCGCCATTTTCCTTGTGCGTTCGCAGAGGGGTGCACGTTCGTTTCCCTACTCCTTATTTTTTCGGATTTTCTTTCGGCGTTAGGCCCAAAAAGAAGGATAAAACGAAGTCTTCTGCCCACGAGGGCGATTCAGGTAGCCTTTCGGAGGACCAGACGGGTCGTAACGGCAAGAGAAGCGGCCTGTTTCCCAACGCTAGTCAGGAAAAATTCCTGGCCGTGGAAAACACAGACGTGTCTGCACAAGCCTCCGGACAGGAGGAAGAGGAGTCGGGTGAACGAAAAGTCCCCGCTCCTACAGCTGGAGGTTCGGAGGAAAAGAGAAGAACTCCAACCTCATTCCGCCGTTTGGGAGCGAAATGCCCCTTCGGCGTTGACACCGGGAACATCCGCCGCTTGGGAGCGAAATGCCCCTTTGGCGTTGGCACCGGGAACATCGGTCAAGGA